TGAATATTAGGCCATTATATAACTTATGGTAATAAAACAGAGCAAATAAAAATCTGAACTGCAGCATACCAAATGGAGCACAAAACCCTTTAATCCCTAAATAAAACAGTTTCTAGGACTAGGATTCAGATTATTATAATCTGATAACTATTGCAAAGCACCCTCTTTTTGAAGACTGTTGTGTGCATGTAGAAAAAACTGGACATCAGCATAGATCTGAATTATTAAAAGGCAATTTATCCCATCCTGATTCTGGAAAAGGACAATCAGAAAAGGCAAATATAACTCTGAGTACTAACAGACAAGTGGGATCCTTGTGAATAGCCTCATCCAGTTAATTTTACTTTTAAAGAGATTTTAATGTGTTCTTTTCTGAAAAGATCTAGTCTTAATTAAAACTATATATTGCTGAATACCTAGCATTTCTCCAAGGATACACTTTAAGAGTAATCCTTATCTTATTAACTTTAATCAATATTCTAAGTCATGTGCTAATCCAATCAAGAGTTGCTTTCCCAACTAACAAACTATGGTCACATCTGAGTAACAATATTTTTTATTCCCTTTTCTGACAATATTATCCTGCTTCCAGGATGCTTCTATGTTTTAGTGAGCTAATGCCAATTAATATGGGGTCATCTTTTCTTTTTCTGAGTTCTCTAACCAGGGTCTTCTACTCACCTACTCTGCTTGGCCAATCCCATATTCATAGTCAAGTAAGTAGTGAATTTCCCACAGCCGTAAAGCTTACACTTTCCCATTATTTCCAGAGAAACCAGAGAGACTGTAAGTTTAGAAAGATAAATCCCAATACGTATGTTTTTGTGGAAGCCCAAGCAGGATAAATTTCTTGCAGACTAAAGAGTTAAAGACTTCCTTTTCCCCAACTAGAACTACAGCTGTCTCCTGCTCTGAAAAGTCAAGTTTCTTTGCCTCTTGTTTGAAGAAATAAACGTGGTGCGTGTGCGGGTAGCTGCTTATGTTGTAGTTATAAAGGATCTCAGAAGATAACTTAAGGGGAAAAAAAAGAAGTAGGCTTAAATATATATTTTTTATTTTTGTTAGGGACAGAGCTTTAGGTAAACCACCTTTCTGAAGCCTTAGTCCTTCCCAAATCAAAAGTAATTTTCCAAAAAGAGATATATCTATGCCAGAAACAGGACTTGTACTGTTACTTCAGAGGTCAGCACACAATCTGATCAGCTAATGCTGCTTGCAAACATCTCTTGAGGGAAGCCAACATTATTTCACCAACATATGCTTCTTTGAAATTTGCAATAGGCCATGGTCTTTTAGCAGTGCTTTTTGGAAAAGCTTAAGCAGCCTGACAGCCAGACGGTCTCTGTAGAAAGGTTTCAGAAGCCTTTTCCCCAACTCTAGCCAGCTCTTGCTTCACCCCCCTGCTCTGGCCTCTAGAACCTGAAGCCAACAGGATCGGCTAAGGCTGCACTTACTGTAGAGGAGACTGATGTTTTTCCTCACCAGAGTTCTTAAAGAACTGAAATTTCTCAAGAGCTGCAGTTCAAGGGTACTATATAACATTGAGGTCCCAGCCAAGAGAGGACAGGAAAAGTTATCCCAGTGTTCTACAGTGCTGTGGGCATCCACTTTGGGTCTTTTTTATCTTTTGCCTAGATCCAAGCTGATAGACAACTTTTTGAACATTCTCTTCCATCTTTATGTAAAAGTTCTGTTTCCAAATTGGACCCTCCCCAGTTTTACCTCAATTCCACTGAAGTAAGTGCCCTTGCCTTTTTTATTTTGCACTGCAGAATTAATTTCTTCAAATTAAAATTAGTAGAATTTGTTGTATATTTGCTATTCTCTAAAAAAAACTTGAATACTTTTATTCCATCTGCTTTAAGCATATCAGCAAAAATTCTTTTAATTGGAAGGTAACAAATTTGCAAACATAGCTACAATTACTGGAGTTACTGATTAGCAAGTAGGAAAGCTGGGACAAGAACATAAATTAAACTTTCTATATTCAACCATGAATTTTAAAAGTAACTAAACTTTTCCCAGTTTAAACATGCCATTCACTATGTATAATAAAACAGATTTCATCTATCCCAGTGTTCGAGTTCCAAAATTACTCATCAATCACGGCTTTTGCTGAGAATTTTGGAAATTAGTCCACAAATCAAAGGAGATTGGATTGAGAAATGTTGCAGTGTGATGTACAGAAGAAAAGTTTTTTAAAAGAGCAACAATGAAAGATTTATAAGCCTAAAGAAAAAAAGAAAACCACTGAATTCAGACATAAAAGGAACAACAGAACATCTGATTTAGATAAGTGAAAGATCCCTAATATTTTTATACAATAAGATATTTTGAGAGCTTGTTGTGGGTATTCAAAGAAAAACCTAGATATGAACATGCATATTGGGCAGTGATGCTCCTCTCTGCTGGCAAACACTCAACATGTGAAAAAGAGAAAACAAGCTGCAATGGCATTACTTTTTTTGTTACATATCTAGTTATCGGCATCAGTGAACTACAGTTATATGACTATCATCATTTATATCTCATCTAGTAATTGCTTAATGAAATAAATAATACAATTTTAAAAATTTCAGAATAGGCAAACTTCTCCATAACAAGTGATCAATGTGCTTCACTGTAAAAAAAAAAAAAAAGCCTAAAAACAATATTCAATAATCTGGACTAAAGTACTGTGCCTCTTGTATTCTCTCAAGAGCAAACTGATTAAGACAACATTTTTTTAAACGTAATTTTTTTTCTTAAGGTGTGAGTCATCTAATAACAAATATGAATTAGAGCATTAGCTATAGCTCTGTTAACTCAACAGCTAATTTATACCTCCTAATACAGGAATCTAAATAATTTCTGTTTGCTGTTTTGTATGATTGGGTCTCAGCTAAGGCAAAAAAAAAAAAAAGGGGGGGGAGAAAGAGAGAATGGAAGCACAGGGGAAAAACAGAAAAACAGAGTTAACTACAGGGCTTCCTACATTAAGTAATTTCACAAATTTTCATAGCTATTGGTCATAAGATTGATCCATTACAAGACTATTTTAAATATATTTCCCCATTTAAAAATAAAAAAACCCTGCAGTACATGTGCAGTATGACAAAAGATATAAGGATATGCGGAAGAATGAATATATGTTATATGTAATTCTCTGTTTAGCAATAAATGTGGTTTGATGGTTATATCTGCACTATTATTGATTGAATTTATTTTAAAAATGACAAAGCAATCTGGTTTGGTGCAATCATAAGAGTAAGTACCAAAGACTATTATTCTGTCTCTGCATGGCAAAATGGGACTTTGTACTCTTGAAACTCTGCTAAGAGTCTCCATCTTTTACTGAATGGTAGACATTAAACAGCAAATGGAATGAAGAGGGCAAAGGTAAAGCTGACGATGCTGTCCGCTGAATCAAATGAGTGAAAGAATCAAAGGAGATCTGAGAAAATACAGTGCTTATCCTAATTGTATATTAGATAGAAAGTATTCTTGAACCTAGCAGATTTTTTTTACAAAAACTATTAATAAATTAGAACGGCTTTTGCAAAGAGATGCTACGCTTTATATTAAATCCCATAGGCATCCAGTTTGCTGCAATGAGAACAGAAAGCAGCATTTGAGACTTTATTCTCCTCCAACAGGCTTCTCATTGCCATATATAGGCAGGAAAATGAGAGATGTAAACTTTATGTGAAGTGTAGGTTTTCTCCCAGATAATTTGTCATTAAAATGGAGGACAGCTGAGATTCACCGAGAATATGGTAATGTTTAATTTATCCTTCCCTATCAGGATTGTCTTCTTTTCATGTAAAAACAGTACTTTCATTAAGGTTTTCAAATAACAAAACAGCACAACAAAGTAATAAATAATAAAAACCCATAATAACCATAAGCAAGCAGTAAAATTCCCAGAGATGTTTTCCTTGCAATGGCAATCTAGTACTGCTAGATGTTTAATGTTAACTTGCAATTTCTGAAGATTTACAGTTGCTATAAATAGCCTAATTCAGCAAAGAAGGACTGTGAAAAACTCTACAAAGTTGTTATTAAATTACTTGAATGAGCAATAAAATAGCAGTTGTGGGTACCAAGTACATTAGGATACCAGGGAGAAATACTAAGCAGCTATAGTGGTTCTTCCCTTGAAACTATTATTTCAGGATGCAGTAGTTATGAAAAAAATAGATGGAAAAAAATCAAGTGATTAGGAATAGACAAAGCAGCAAATTATTAAGGGCTTAGAGTTTTCTAACATGGGAAACTTACAATATTATAGCTTTTTCATTTACTAAAAAAGGCGGCTACAGAGACACAATGCTTATAAAATGTCTTCTCTCCCTCTGTCCCAATATGAAAATCAGGGTCATCTGTATCTAAATGGCCAAACAGCACTTTCACGAGTACAGGCAGCCTATCTCGAACAACCATATGCAAGAGAGGAGATGCTGAGAAAGGACAGCGCGCTGACTTCGTCCTTCCTCGCCTGTGAGATCTCGCAGGCCACAGGGAAACACCGGACGCCCGTCCAGGCGGATCCAGCCAAACTGTTAGCCGAAAAGCCAGGTGTGTCTCTCTCTCAAGAACGGCAACAGAGAAAAAGGCGAGGGGCCGTCAGAGGTATCCCCAATCACCAAGGGAGAAAAGTTTCGGCTTGGAATTCTCCCTTCAGCTTCAGCCACCCTACTGAAAGGGCAACCCTACCTACCTACCTACCTACCTACCGACAACTCTCGAGGAAAGCTGATCCGGCTACTCTTTTCCTAGCTAGAAGACCGCACAGCCCTCGGCTTTTCCCGCTGGCCGAGAAGAACTGAGGAAGGGAGAAATATTTCCACAGGGACGTTCTTCATGTCGACCTGAAGATCCCCTCCCTCACCTGCTGCTGGATCTTGCCGTCCTCGGTGACCACCCAGTGCGTGGTGGCGGCGCCAGGACGAGGCGCCAAGCCCAGCAGCAGAAAGAGGCCGAAGAGCGAGCGCAGGGAAGCGCACACCAGCTTTCGGCCACTCCACCCGGACTCTCCTGCTGACAACGCCATCTTCCACAACCCCGGCCTGCCCGCATTACCCGGAACCGGAAGCACCCACGTCGCCATTTTGGAGAAGGAAGTGTGTGTGTGTCTACCGCTCTATACCATAAGCAGAAGTAAGAGAGGTAGAAAAAGAGGAAAAGTTCGAGCGACGCGAAATTGGGGAAGAAAATTCTGAGCTCTCTTGGCAGGGTGCGACACCTCTGTATAGAGGTGTACGCGATCTATGTCGTGGGGATGAAAGAGTGGGGCGCGAGCTTCCTGTTTAACTTGTAAACAGGCGGTAGGAATGCGACTCTTCAATTTTTTCCTATCTCTATGGGAGTGCAGGAGGCGGGAGGAAGAATGTGGCACAAGAGGGCGTTGCCTCCAGGGAGAAGGCGCGGGCGTGTTGCTTGTTTTCCTCGTTCGTCCTGCGGTTGCACGTGCCGCGCGGAGGCAGCCGCCACTCCCTGTAGGGCCGTCTGCCGAGCGAGGGCCGCGCCCCTTTTGCTCGCGGAGGGAAGGGGAAGTTGCTCTCGGGCTGCCTCTTCCCTGCTGCGGAGGAAAGCGCACAGTCATCGTTGGCTCAGCAGGTAGCCGGCCTCGCCTGGCACTGCGCGGCAGTTCGTGGGCGGCCGCCTGGAGGCGCGCTAAGGGGTTGTTTTGGAAACTAAAAGCCCAATTCCGTTTTTCATTTGTTACGGAGGAATGTTGCTTCTTCCTTTGTACTCTCTTTGTGTCGTGACCGGTTATTGTGGTCCAGTTTTTAATCGGTTTTGATCTGATTGAGATCAAATAAATACTTTTCAGTGTGTCCTTTTGTTTCTGATGTCCTGTTATATTAGCGCTTAGCTACAGGAGCTAAAGTCCAATTGAAGCGATATTCATCCATGCACGATACATAACCACGTATTAACTAGCTTGTCAACTGTAGATTGAAAAGAAAATTAGTTGCTGCTACTTCGTTGTCAATTGGAAATCCACGAATGTTGCTAGTGCTTTCTGTTAAGGTGCCGTTTTTCCTGGTTTAATTCAGAATGAAGAGCTGGGAAATGTATTGTCCCAAGAAACAATAAAAGCAGAAACACCCAAGTATGTCCTTGTTGCTGAATAAATTATATTTTGAACATGGTCACGTATCATCCCATAAAAACCTAAACACTGCTGACATTTATACTGTTTTGAAAATGCAGAGATGATGTGCTTCGTAATTCTGCATGTTTTATCAAGGTATCATTAAAAAATGAACAGCCACAAATCACTAACAAAATTACAAAATGGATTTATTGCAAAAGCATAAAGGAAATTTTACAAATCAAAGTGGTTAAAGGGTGTCTCCAAAATAATTCACTGCATTTTTAACACAAAATGAGAGCTATTTCTAATTGACAATCTGCACATTATTTCTGAGTAGAACTATATGGTCAACCTATTATTCAACAGAGCCCCCTCTCAAAATTATATGTAGAAAAAGTGGTTAAACTTCCTTAAAGTTAGGTTTCTGAAAACTGACAGTCCAATAAGCAATATACTGAATTAACAGAAAATGTTTTCAAATCTGTTTTAATCCACTATTAATTTGTATTTTGAACTGGTCAGTTTTTAGAATAATGGCCTAATGGGAGACATAAATTATCCCTCTAAATTAGAATCCTTTTTCTTCAATCCAACTGGTAAATTTTAAAATCACCTTCCTTACAACATGAATACAACAAATGTAGAGCAGACCCATAACTTGAATCATTTTGCTCATCAACACCTCTATATCAGAAAAGGGTGTACCAGGCATCAGAACCTAAACAAATCTGCAGTTACCAAGAAATGCATCTCTGTCCATTTTACAAACTAATTTTAGCTAATACATATTAGGAGCTTGTCAGAAATACCTATGTACATAAATTTGGTTTTGTTACGCCTAACAAAATTGTAAAAAAGGACTTGGGTCTAGGATGAGAAGGAATTTGTAGTTCTTTAAATCCAGTTGTAGCTGGATTGATTTCAATGTTTCTGCAGCATATGATGTTTATTACATTTTACTCCTGTCTAACATCTGCATCTTACAATGTTCAGTCCAAAAACAAAACTGGGGAAAATTCTCAAGGAAAAAATGGTTTAAATGGCAAAAACTGAAGAAATTGCATCTGATACAGTCTTTTATGTAACATTTTGAAGATGCCTATCATAATAAGCTTTTCTTTTTGTAAGAATTACCAAGACATTTGCAAGGTTTTTTTTTTTTAACCAAAGGGCAACTAAATTGTTGTAATTTTAAGTGTCGAATGCCACACTTATTTTAAAATGCAGCCATTTAACTGACTTGAAAAACAAATAGCTGCTCAAGGCTAAAAAAAAAATCTTAGTTTAACAGGAGTCATGTTACTGCTCAGCCACCTTAATATCTGCCAGAGTATTAATCTTTCCTGGGATGCATTTCTAGCATTTTATTATTTTTCATTGGAATTTTATGACACATATACGTGTCTGCATGGATACATATATGGACACATATAGAACTTTTAAAAATCCATTTGCAACAGATACATTATATAACCATATATGGAAAAGAGCAAGATGTAGCGTTAAAATTAACACGTTTCCCCAGAAATAATTGGATTGGTTTAAGATAACAGCACAGATTCTTCTGGATCCATGTTGCACGCTTTAAAAATCAAGGAATTCAGTCAAGGAACCATGCCACTATTGGCAGTTTATACTACTTTTTTTTCTTTTGCAATATAATTCTTTCCCAAGTGTGGAAATATGATTCGGTTTGAAGAGAAGTTCCTACTGATTTCAATTACAACATTTCCATCCATTATCTAGTATTTTATTATTATACACTGAGTCCACTTTGTATTATAAGCCACATTTATAGATGAATGTAACATCTTTACGGAAGCAGCTTCAGCTTGAACACCCATGCTTTTTCCTGAATAAATCCTGAAGACGCTTTAAAAACAAACACAAACTCAAAATGCCAGCTGTTAAACATCCAAAAATACAGTTGTCATTTCACTGAGAGTCTGTAGTCCATTAGAAAAGTAGATCATACATACAAAGGTGTAAGAACATTTAAACCAGTCTTTTGCAGAAGGCGGTCTTTTAGACAATGCAGCCCCCTACAGGCAATCCTTCAAACTTTAAAGATGTTTTAGCCATAAAGTAATGGCTTTGGAAATGCTTTCAGTAGATTCTTCCACGGCTACGGTTACCACGTCCACCCCATCCTCTTCCCCGTCCACCACGGAAACCACCTCTGTGCTCTGAAATAAAAGAGAATAAAAAGTTCTTTCCCAGTGCATTTAAACTGTTTGAAATAAAGCAGCAGTTATTACTGGTTTTTGCTTTTAAAAATAGTATCTGTTTTAATCCAAAACAAATAACACTAAGAACAGTTTCCCATTCTTACATTCCTTTATGTAGTCATAAAGGCTGTCCTCATTCAGCGACAGTTCAAAGTTACAATGGTGCTAAACGAGGAGACTTACGGCCAATCCTCTAAGCTGTGGCCATCGTAGCATCCCCACGGTCATTGTTTGCAACCTTCACTGCTGGCTTCCATCAAGCAAGGTCAATGGGAAGCTGGCAGGAAGTCGCAATTCATGGCCATGTGACATCACGCTTAACAACCACGTGCCATTAGTGCAATTGTAGGTTGGTGCAGTCACATATTTTTTGCTTTGCAACTGTGTTGCTTAGTGATGGAGTTCCCGGTCCCAATTATGGTTGTTAACTATACAAGGGGAACACAATAGTGTCTAGCGAGGTTAGTAAGAATCAGAACAGCTGAGTACTGCTATTCCTAAAGAAATGTGTCAATATGAACCTATACTTGAAGGAATATTTTTTAAATTAAATATACAGTGCATTCGGAAAGTATTCAGACCCCCTTCACTTTTTTCAATTTTGTTATG